GACTAGAGGTCCTATTTGACCCATCTATATTCCCCTGCTGGGAATCTTCCCAAAAGAATTAAAAGAATCATACCACAGTGATATATGCACACCCATGTTTATAGCAGCACAGTTCGTAATCGCTAAAACTTGGAAACAGCCCAAGTGCCCATCAACTGGAAAATGAATAAAGAAGTTTTGTTTTATAAAATGGAGTACTAGTCAGCCATAAAGAATGAGAAACTAGAAACATTTATAGCTAAATAGATGCACATTGAGGCCATACTTTTAAGTGAAATAAATAGGACACACGTGTGTAAATACTGAATAGTTTCTTTGCTGTGAGAAACTGAAAGTGTAAATAAGGATCAAAATGAATATTAGATAATGTGATAGAGGAAGAAAAGGTGTAAAGGGAAAGGGGAAGTGGAAGTGTAGAGGGAAAGGAAAGAAAGGAAAGGAATAAATATGAGAAAAGGAAAAAATGGAAACAAAGTCTTTATAAATAGGGAGGGGTAGAGGGGTGGAGGGGTTGAAGGGAGGCCAGGGGAATGGGGGAAAATAAGAACCAAGATATATCAAGTAAAGGCACAAATTCCCAATGATGAATGTCACTGTATTGTATACCTAAAATGTACCAATAAACAATGAAAAAAAAAGAAAACTGACTTTTAATAGATTCTATTATTATTTTTAAATTCTCCATACTCAATTATCCCCTTATTGTCTGTACGAAGTGCTTCATTCCCAACAGTCCATCCGATTTATACCTCAGATTTATCTGATTAAATTTTGCACAGCTATTTTTAGAAACACTCAAACTTCTTAAGATAGGAAGTTTGACTTTTTGTGGCATTTGATAAAACAAATTAAATGAAACTAATAAGAGCAAGAAAATAAAATATTCTCTGCAAATACCTTTAGCAAACCTGGCTGGGGCGTACCAAAAATCTCCTTAACTATTCACGATTTCCATGCATACCGGTCCAAGGACCCAGACCAGGGTGGTAGTTGCTTTCTGCAGTTACTACTTCTGCATTACCTTTGGTGTTCTCTAACACCTGTTTAATCTATCCTCTACATTAGATGATTTTTTAAATAACTGGTGCCATATCTGTTTTCCTTAGAAGGCCTTGATTGGTATAGCATCAAAGTTGTGACTCAAAACACTTAAGTCATTCAAAAAGACAGACCTATAACCTATTGGTTCAAAGAAATTAGAAAGTTACCTCATTATCTCCTGTAAATGCATAGTTAACAATTTTTGTCATTCAAAGTCTTATAATAAGATATATGGAACTCAGAAATGAGAATCTTTGAATTGATGATCCCATTTTCATTAGAGAGTCCACCTGGGACATATCACTAGCCCTTCTGAGCTCTAAAATTATCATGGTTATATAATGGTCCCTATCTTGCCACAGATTTGAGGTGCTCATTGAGATAATAGACATTAACTTCTTTTATAAAATATAATTCATTTTGATGTGAAAAATTCATTACTTATTAATAGTTTACATCTCTGAGAATTAATACACCACTCAAGCTCTAAAGATCATTTTATTTTAAAGTTTCACATTAATTTATTGTAAATAATTTATTTTGACAGGCTCTTAAGGCATAACAAAGCACTTATTTCCTTGTATCCTCATTGTCTTTTTTACATGTATAGATGACTCTGTCAACTACCATCAGTAATACTTTTGCTTCTGTGTGCTTACTAATAGTGGGTGGATAGCAAATCAATTCTGATTAAACATTTGACTAGGAAAAAAGCATGTAAAAATATAGTTTTTTATTTTTCCCTTGTCAATAATATTGGTGATTTTTCTGCTATTTTAAAGCACATCACATTAGGGTGTTAAATTCTATAACTAACCACTATACTATGCTCCATTTACAAAAACAAGGACTTCTATTAGTCATACCTATGACTGTAGAAAAAACTGAAAATTATGAGCTGAGAACAGAAAAATAACCAATGGACATTATCACATGAATGCCTTTTCTGCTCAGACTCAGCATGTTTCTAAAATACCTCATTATTTCTTCTATCATAAACAGCCATGGTAATGTTATTTCTGTCTCCCAGTATTCACACTGAAAAGTTTGAACCATCCTTGTCTCTATCATCTCTGAGAACTTTAGCTGCAGTCAGTTGCCAAACTCAATTTCTTCTCACTTTTAAATATCTGCCTCATATACTTCTACTTCTTTCCTTTTCATCTTCACTGTCCAACCCTGCCTTGGCTTGCACTACCATAGTCAACTTATTCAATTCCTAACTTGTGTCCATGCTTCTAGACCTTCTGCATTCTAATCTATATTCTATAGCTGGAAGGGTTGTTATACCCTTAAGATCCTCAAGAAAAGTTGCATGGCTAAGATGTCATAGAGGTAATCTACTAAGTTCTTTCAAAACTGAGATTCTATTACCCCCATGATTCTATATACATACCATTCACATTCTCTACTTTCTCTCTTGTGATTCTTTCCTGGGTCTTTTATTTTATTTATTTATTTTTTTGTACCAGGGATTGAACTTGGGAGCTTGCACTGCAAGGCAGAGGGCAGAACCACTGAGCTAAATCCCTGCCATATAAGATCTCTTATATGGTACATTTGGCTAAGAAGTAGAAGATAGTCCCTAAGTTACAAGGACTTCTGAATTGAATTTATTTATTTATTTTTTTTGCTTAAATTCTTTTATTGGTACATTTTAGGAATACAATATGTTTGCATATATCATTGAGTACTTGTATCTTCACATGATGTATCTTGGTTCTTATTTATTTCCCATTACCTGTGCACCCTTCACCCCCTCCACCATTCCCTATTTACATAGAATTTACTTCCATTTTTCTCTTTTCTCATAATTTTTCCTTTTCCTTCTTTCCTTTCCCCTTCCTCTACCCCTTTCCTACCCATTTGGACCTTTTCTTCCTATTTCAAATAATCAATTATTCTTTTTAATCATTTTAATCCTTATTTACACTTTCAGTTTCTAACACTAGAGAAACTATTTGGTATTTACACATGTGTGTCCTATTTATTTCACTTAAGATTGTGGCCTCAGTATGCATCCATTTAGCTATACATGTCTCTAGTTTCTCGTTCTTTATGGCTGAGTAGTACTCCATTTTATTAAAAAAACACACATCTTCTTTATCCATTTTCCAGTTGATGGGCCCTTGGGCTGTTTAGAAGCTTTAGGTATTACAAACTGTGCCACTATAAAATGGTTGCACATATATATAACATGGGTGTGCATATATCGCTGTGGTATGATTCTTTTAATTCTTTTGGGAAGATACCCAGCAGGGGAATAGCTGGGTCAAATGGGACCTCCAGTCCTGCTTCTTAGAGGTATCTCTATACCGATTTCCACAGTGCTTGCAACAGTCTGCACTCCCACCAATGGAGAAGGTTTCCTTTCTCCCCACATCCCTGCCAGCATTTGTTATTGGTTGATTTCTTGATAGCACCCATTATGTCTGGGGTGAGGTGGAATCTCAGTGTTGTTTTCATCTGCATCTCTCAAACGACCAGTGATGTTGAACATTTTTTCATATGTTTATTTGCTGCTTTTACTTCTTTTTCTGAGAAATATCTGTTCATTTCAGATGTCCATTATTGAATTGGGTCTTTAAATTTGAGGGGTCTGATTTTTTCAGATCTTTTTATATTCTAGATGGTAGACCTTTGTCTGAGGTAGAGCTGCTAAAAATTTTTCCCACATTGTAGGTTGTTTCTTAGCTCTGTTGGTAGTTTCTCTTGCAGTGCAGAAGCTTTTTAATATGATGAGATCCCAGTTGTCGATTCTTTGTGCTAGCTCCCATGCTACTGAGGTTTTGTTCATAAAGCCTTTAAACTATGCCAATGTCTTCAAGAGTTCTACCAAACTTATCTTCCAAAAAGTTTAGTATTTTTGTCTTAAAATTTAGACCTTTAATCCACTTCAATCTTAGTTTAGTGCATGGCGATAGGTATGGGTCTAGTTTTAATCTTTGGCATGTTGAAATCCAGTTTTTCCAACACCATTTATTAAATAGGCTATCTTTCCTCCAATGAGGATGTTTGGCTCCTTTCTCAAAGATGAAGTGGCTGACTATGTCTGGAGTTGTTTCTCTATCTTCTAATCTATTCTACTGATCCTTGGGTCTGTTTCTTTGCCAGTACCATGCTGTTTTTATCACAGTAGCTTTGTAGTATAGTTTCAAGTTAGGGATTGTGATGCCCCCAGCCTTGTCTCTGTTGCTTAGAATTGATTTTGCTATTCTAGGGCTCTTCTGGTTCCAAATGAATTTTTGGATTGTTTTCTGTAGTTCTCTAGTTGGAATTTGAATTGGCATCGCATTAAATCTATATAGTACTTTTGGAAGTATGGCCATTTTCACATTATTGGTTCTTCCTACCCAGGAACAAGGGATGTCTTTCCATTTTCTTAAATCCTCCTCCATCTCCTTTTCCAGAGTGCTGTAGTTTTCAGTGGAGAGGTCTTTTGCATCCTTTGTTAGATTGATTCTTTGATATTTCATTTTTTTGGATGCTATTGTAAAAGGAATTGTTTCCCCAATTTCTCTCTTGGTGAGTCTGCTATTTGTGTATAAGAAGGCTATTGTTTTTTGAGTGTTGACCTTATATCCAGCTACTCTACTGAATCTGTCCATTAAGTCAAGAAGTCTTTTGGCAGAGTTTTTTGGGTCTTCTATGTAAAGTATCATATCATCAGCAAATAATGACAGTTTAACTTCTTCCTTTCCTATCTTTATTCTATTTATTTCTTTCTCTTTATTTTATTTCTTTCTCTTTTCTCTTCTTCCATTGTTGTGGCTAATGTTTCCAGCACTATATTGAACAGGAATTATGATAGTGGGCATCCTTGTCTTGTTGCTGATTTTAGTGTGAAAGTTTTCAGTTTTTGACCCATTAGTATGATGTTGGCTGTTGGTTTTCATAGATAGCCTTAATCAGATTGAGATAAAGACTTTCTATTCCAAATCAACATACATCATGTACAGGTACAAACACCCAATGATTGGGGCTGTGCAGAGGAGCTGGGACCCGGAGGCCCTTACCTTGCAGCTCCCCTAGGCCTAGCGCAGCAGCCACAGACAAAGGAGCATGTTGGCGCCTGGGAGCGCTGGCCAGTGGCCATCCGGAGGCTCCATGTGCTGCCTGGCCCTCCCTGCACGCCCACCCAGCTGCGCAGCTACCTGCTCAGTACACAGGCCCGGCCTGCAGCCTGGAGCCATCCTGGAGCCATCCAGGAGCCCCCGGCGCCCACGCAGCCGCTGCCTCTCCTCCTGGGGCTCCTGCTGTTCTCCATTCTGGGAGGACCAGGAGATGTCGGTGGCCCAGGCGGGGTCAAGGCGCTGCCCCCGGGCTGCAAGCAAGAAGAGCAGCCCTGGGCTGGGGATTTAGCTCAGTGGTTTCACCGCCTGCTTTGCAAGCGCAAGGACCCCAGTTTGATCCCCGGTACCAAAAAAGAAAGAAGAAGGGCAGCCCTGAGGAAGCTGCAGGGTGGAGGCGCCCGCCAAGAGCAAGGTGGTATGCAGCAGCCTGGAGCTCGCCCAGGTCCTGCCCCCTGGACGCGCAGCCCAACCACACGGTCACCCTTCAATTCGGTTTGCAAACAAAACTATGGAAAGAATTAAGTCCTTGAACCAATGTACTACTGTAATCATCAAGTTACCAAAACCTTAACTTTCCCACAGCAGACAGAAGCCAGGGTAGTAGCTCTTGAGCTCCTCCAGCACCCTCTGTCTCAGTGACTTCTTTACTCTTACCGGGGCTACTGGGTGCTATACCCTCCTCCAGCTTTTTGTTCTTGACCTTCAGGGACTGGAGTCATGGCTGAGAAGGGGCAACGAATGCCAGCCATGCACCGGAAGGTACTGGCCCCCCGGACAAACACACCAGCTGCAGCAGGCATCCATGGCGCTCCTGCCACCACACACAGGTGCTCAGGCCTCGGCATCCAGCGGCCGCTGGGCTCAGCTCTGAGGCACAGCTACAACTTCTGCTGTGATACTGAAGAAAACTTGTGAGAAGAGAAATCTTTGCCATATTTCTGATCTCAGCAAGAAAGATTTGTGCCTCTCATCATGCACAG